TCGTGCACCGCTAATCCAAGCGTAATTGAGCAGCTCGGTGCCATTATGTCTTATGTCCGCGAGAGATTAATCTGAACGCGGCTCTCGAAGCGTTTTGCGAGCCGCGAATTCTCTCCTTTACTCAACCCCTCTCTACCCTCCCCAACATTCTTTCTCCTATCTTTCTCGTATCTTTCTCGTATCTTTGGCTTGTTGGAGGGATCGTTGACGATCTCGTGCTCGAGCTCGGTATCTACTTAGGTGAACGTTGTAAAATGGTGTGCAATCCGTGACGTGTGCGTCGAGGAATGGTAATTCTCTTCTTTTCTCTTTTTTCTTGGGCAGAAGTATCTGGGCGTCGCAGATAATGAAAATCGCGCGAGGGCATCTCGTGCAACTCTCGTGATTTATCTACCTTTATCGGTTCGCTTAATTGTGCGGTGCAGAACGTCGATACATGGGAGGATTCGGTTGGGAAAAGGTGAGACGACGGGCGGGTCGAAAACAATATGTAGGTAAGTATACATATATGTATAATGGTAAGTAAGAAGGTAGAGACGAGGGGAAACTGGATCGACCAATCGCGCGTTCCAAACAATCCCGAGCCTCGAGAGGTGAGACAAAAGTCCGAATCTGGATTCGTTCGAGCGATATCTAGCCGCGTGTTCGCCCACGTTCTGTGCACATGCTAACAACAGCCTGTTACGTTTGCCTTTTGTGTGTTTTTTTAATCGTTTTGAGACAACGCCGGTGACTTGAAAAGTTCTTATGCCAGATGCGTGATCTTTCTTCCACCTTGATTCATTTACATCGACGCAACATCGTGATCGCTGCCTGATAATCGCCGAGAATTGTCTGCGATACGTGTATGTCTATTCCCTTCCTTCTTTCTACATCCGCATATGTATCTGCGTACGTACTATATGCAGATGTAAGTATTCTCACCTCCTTCACTTTCATTTTTTCTTTCTTGCTTTGTTAACTCTTCTAAACACGGATAGGTGCACGGTTACCGATGTTTGATAAGGTTGAGAACATGTATCGCGCCGATAGCTTAACGAAGGCAGGTGATCGCTTGCGCCACGTTATTATCAACGTATGTGCTCGTCGCGAAGAAGGCGCTAAACGTGTAATCCAAATACATATGTGTAAAATAGGATTGTCCAGATTACTCGTATTTCGGAGTTTATCGAACAGTTAGGTTCGTTTATGCAATTCTCGATCTACATAAATGCATACATACGATTTAGTACTGTGCGTTAAACGAAAGAATACCGTATGCAGTTTTGATATGTCAAGATCGCTCGATGAAATATTCTTCCGATGTGCTATTGTTTGCAAGGAGAGAAGAGATCGATCACGATGAACACAATGTCTGCGTTGGATTTCAGGAGCATTTCCACACGAGGACGAAGCTTCTTTCGTAATTTCGCTGATCAGGCATGTTACGACACGAGACGGACGAGAAGCCGTTGTCACGATGACTATTATACCTCGGTATGTATGTATCGTAGTCGAAGGTATCGAGTTTGAGAAAAGGAGTATGTAAACCGTTGCGAGTCCGTTCGCTCGGTTCGAAAAGCTATAACGAATACACAGCAATATACGTAGCTCGGGAAGAAGTGGATAATTAGACTAGGGTAAGGAGCGAGAGAGAGAGAGAGAGAGAGAGAGAGAGAGAGAGCGAGAGAGAGAGAGAGAACGAGGAGTTATCATCGAGGCCAGTAGAGGTGGGGTGGTACCTCGTTACATATTCGTAGGGGACGTCGTTTGACGCGTAAACGTTGTCAGATATAAGAGGAGGAGGAGGAGGAGGAGGGAGGCGGAGGCGGAGGCGGAGGAGGAGGAGAAGCGATGCGTTCCGTATCCATCGCTGCCGTTTTCTTCGTTTCAAGCGTATTCGAGGCGATTTCAGCGATGCATTCGATCGCGAGCATCGTCGGTGTTTCTTCCTCGAAATGCCACCAGTTCCACCTGTAGTCCAACGCTACTACCGTCCGGCAGGCCTCTACGCTCGACCACGATACAACATTCGCGAGAAGAGGAGAAAGAGCTATGTATTTACCATTCACCAGCCATCGAAGACCGTGCAATTCGCCGTTAGATTTTCCCCGATAGCATACCGCGAGGATAGCAATGGTTAGGTTTACGTTAATTATTGTTAAGAAGTTTGCCGACCGATAAGTAGTGGCGAACGATGGTGAGTCTCGAGGAAATCTTGGGATTATCGTCCTTGTACCACTTCCTCCGGACAGTTGCCATTCGCATCTCTGCACATTCTTGCACATTTTTGCACATTTTTCTTTTTCGACTCGCCGTTTCGGGTCAGAGGGGTGTATAGAATGGAGCCGCTATAAGCTGGTGCAGCTAAACGAGATTCGTTAGGATCTGGGGCAGCAGGCAGCAGGCAGAGCTGGTGGCTGATTGGCGATCAACGGTGGTCTACGTTTTCTCCTCTCGTCTATTACCCCCTATCTATTTAGGTAGATTCGAAACTTGGGTAAAAATCGAAATCTGTTACGAACTCTTCTTCTCCTCGTTTCCCTTCTGCTCTTTGCATACTGCTTTTATCTCGTTAGGAGATGGGCGAAACGAGAAGAGACTGGTAAGGTAAGCACTCCGACCCTTGTTTGCTTTTACAACGATCGTGCGATTTAAGGGAGAAAGAAAAGGAGGATATAATATTATACATACCGTTAGCGGATCCCGCTAGTACTCCGATCAGATGAAGATCAATTGGAAGAAAGGACGAGTTGGGAGAAGCGCAGGGTTTCCGATCTTGAAGTGGATTGGAGGATCGAGGTGGAGCATTACACCGTATTAGTTTGTCGTAGGTTTTCGCCGACAGAGACGTCGGACACACCCACCGAGCAGTGCCGCGCACAGTGCATCTCGTTACGTTCGCTGGTACACTAACGCGACGCGTTCTGCTTTTCACGCTCGTCGTATACGTGTGATTAAGGAATTAAGGAGCAGGAGGATGCAGATCCTCCTCGTTTGAATGGAAGAAAAGGCGAGAAGAGGGAAAAAGGGATGTTTGGAGTTGGAAAGAAGGGGCGAGAGCGCGGAAGCGGGTAGAGTTGACCATGTTGTCAGCAAGCTGCATGACACGCCTCTCTACGGACTCGTAGTTCATCGAGTTATATGTATTTACATCGAATTTCTCTACATAGTCGACACTCTACTCTGGTCAAGTGAACTGAGAAAGATAGGAAGCGTTAAAACGACGATAGTAGAGAGGATGAGCGGTGTTATGAAAAGGCGTGCGCCTCGATTAACGATCTCGTGTCGGAGGTAACGTGCTGTCGCGTCGAAATAACCAACGCTACTGGCTACTGGCGCGAGGGAGGAAGAGGAGGCGCAGCTCCAGCGACCCCTTGCCGGGGTCGGCACGTTACGGGGATCGGCGAATGCGAGCGAGGCAAGAAAGCTACACGAATAAGTACATATACATATATATATATATAGATGTATACATAGATACATATGTAGGAGGTGATGGGGTGGTGCATTGGCGGCGGCGACGGCGACGGCGACGTGTAACGACGTTGGTCTGTCGGAAGAGGAACAAGGAGAGATGCATTATATTTACACTATTTTCAACGAGGAGTAATTGCACGCTGGAGTACGGCACCGGAAAACTCCAATTCGAATAATTAATTGCTCGTCGAGTGCCTCTCGGCACGGACAAAAAGATGAAATTCACAGACTGTTGCTCGAATTTATACATAGAAGTGCGAATGGGAATGCCAGTGAATTGTATCGAGCAGTCTTTTGGTATGCACATTTACATATGGGTTAACACGAACTGTTCCGTGTCGCAGAGGAAGAGGAAGAGTGAGATGTAAGTATCATCCCACGTATCAGTGGGAAGATTGAGGGTGAAAGAGGGGGTGTGGCAGAATGAACGCCGCTGTAAACCAACTAGCCAGAGAAGTCGTTAACTAGACCAGCAGTCGTTAAGTCCATTCCCTGCGGTTAACGTTAGCGGCAAGTTGCCTCGTTCGCGCCTCGTTCAATTTTTCTTCTCATTATCGGACAATTTCTTCTTTCTTTCCTGGAATACTCCGGTAATCCAGCAATTTTCAAATTCAACAATTCCCTCAACCGAAGGAGGAGGAGGAAGAGGAGGAGGAGAGATGAAAAAACTAAAGCCACCGTTTTCGTAACGTCTCTTTATATACTCTGTAGTTTCTCGCGGTCACCCTCGAGAATTATCGGAGAATTCTCGCATGCAGCTTCCGTGGATAACGGTGAGCGAATAATACGCATTAACGAGGTAAAACGCGATTGTAATATATATATATATATATATACATATTAAAAGGATCACAGAGCGACAGGAACGGCGGCATTATCCACGATCAATCGTACGAATAGACGTCTCTGTAGACGTCGACTGTACCATTCTACCAGAAATATTTCGCAAATCTCCAGCCGTTTCCGACGCAAAATACTTGGGAAAAGAATACACTCACTCACTTACACACACAAACACACGCACATTCCCCTATACACGCGCGTGCGTGATTTCCTGCCTAGTTCACAGTATACACGTTCGCTTTAATTGTCAGTTACCTAAATCTTTCCGTCCGTAATGTTAACGAACCACCTTCGTTCAGCGCTAGCGTCAGTGTACACAAGTACATAAGTAAGTTATATGTACATAGTAATTTATACATATTGTATGTACGTCGATATCTTGGAACGTGTTGCATGGCACATCGCGTTGCGCGAATCGTCGTCGGTTTCCGATTCGAGGGAACGAACGAACCAACGAACCAACGATTGTATCATAGCCGTTCTCTCTGGATATTGTTCGCGACAAATACCTACACATACTTATATACGTATAACGCTTGCGACTATGTAGTTCTTCGAAGAAAGTTCTTGGTTCGGAAGCGAGAGTAGGAGAGAGTAGGAGAGAGTGCGAGTGTGTTTGCGTGCGTGCGTGCGTGCGTGCGTGCGTGCGAAGAAAATGTGGCGTGGGATAGAACCGAAGAAGTTGAAAGTTGAGGAAATGGAAGAAAGAAGCGGTCGACGCATCTTTCCGATATTCTTAGACGAATTAGAAAAGTATTTGATCGTTTTGTTCGTCGGTGTGTGGAACTCGCGACCCGCACGAGTGTCCGTCATATGCTGTATGCGTGTCCGAGGCCCATGGAACACTAACTTGACCTAGAAAATCTCTGTGGTCCGCGATTAATTTTAGTTAGATTATAAAGCGATTCTTGGTCGCGAACCGGCGTCCAATTCGGGGGATTCTTTATATGTACTACTAAATATGTATCCGTTCGCACGTATTTCGTTTGAACGTACATCCATTCCACGTATAGGTAATAACGGCCAGCCGTTGATGGAGAAAAGACAAGAAGAAGGGGCGCGCGTTAGCGTTGAATGGAAACGGTGACGTTGGCGTGTCGTCGTTTCTTCTATTTTGTCTTTCGCTTTCGCGGTTGCTAGCGACTGTTCTGCCCTTAGGTGTGTGCTCGCGACGTGTCTTCAGTGATGGGTTGTCGTCGGAGGTCCGGTGCTACGCGACAATGTCCATGTCGGAGGAGGAATTGGGCGTGGTCGGTGCTAAACTGCCGAGGGTGTCCTCGTCTGGTAGGCCATGTTGACAGCCGGCCGGTGCAGGACTCAGCGGTGGAAGATGCGGCGACGAGAGCATCGGATCGCCGCTGTGAATCGGACCGCTCCCGTCGTCCTCCATCAGATCGTCGAGTTGCGACATGCTCAAGCCCGCTGCTTCTTCGGCAACCAGTTCTGGAATCTGTTGCAAGCAAACTATAGCCAATATCGTAGAAAGGAAGGAGGAAACTGAAACGCAATGCAATTCGTAACGTTATCAGTGTTGAAATTTTACAACGCGACAAAACTGCTTACACTCCGACGAGACTTTATCTCGAGTAATTCATCAACGATAATGCTTAGCGTCCCAACATTTCTGCACGCACCCTGCCCAGGAGAATTCGTTTTCGAAAACGTGGTCAAGTAAAGTCGCGATTGTGCGAGTAAAAGAATGAATGGGAAACCGAGGGGGAATGGTAGGAGGAACGGAGGTGGCCGGGCGGCGAGTGAAGCGGCTGATGGAGTGCGGGTGGTGGAGGAAGGAGCGGGAGCACAGCTGAGTGGATGCAGAGGGAGCTGGAAAGCGCGGTGTACGTGTTTTATAAGTTCCTATGCGAGCGAGAGAGCGAGAGAGCGAGGACGCAGAAACGAGCGATTTCGTAGCTGGTAGTCTCGTAAGAACAGATGCGGATTATGAAACCAGTCCCGGGAACGAAGCGAACGTTTATTCGGATCAAGGATCGTGAAACGATCGCGGCTGCATATCGGCGCTGATCGGCGTAACCTTGATAAAATTCAAAGCAGCTTCGCGATGCGTTTCGGATGCAGGGGACGAGAATTGTACATACATATGTATATCGCGGTACATGTATGTTTACCTTGCGTTGCTCGAGCTTGTTTCGAGGAAATGCGTTGAGCACGTTAGCGGAAGTGGAGGCCCAATTGAAGTCGGAAACCGGAAGCCCGTGCGCCTTAGCTTGGAGCTCGAGCTCTTGAACGCGTAAGAGGAGTCGACGATTCTGATGTTCCAATTGCTTGTGCCTGAGCTCGTTTTGCTTCATCCTTGTCAACTCGTTTTTCAACAGCTTTATGTACTCGACCGAGGACTTGAGGATCGTGCCCTTGTTCGGCCTGACGTCTCGGACGATTTCGTAATATCTGGAACAAGCCAAGGCGGCGGACGGATTATGCCGTGTTATAAGTACACGCAACACACTTTCTATCAACAGTTTCACGCCTCTACTCTGTCGGTCGTGCCGTCGTGCCGTCGTGCCGCCGTGCCGCGCAACCGACGTATGTACATAATATAACGAGAATTCTGGTAGGAACGGACCTAACCTTGAAATTCGAACAAAAGAGCATAATACGAAACGCAAGAGATATGCCTGCCGACGGACGGGCAAAACCGAGATGGAGAAAACGGTGTCGCCTAACCTAACCGGCGCATGTTTGCCGTAGTTGTTAGACCAAGGCTCATTTCGTTATCGAAGAGACGATATCTCGGTCTACCCGCGAATCGCACGTTCTTCTTTTGCACCGATACCGATCTTGGAAAGGCCGGTATCATCCACTTATCATTATGTAGTCACCTTATTCGTGAACGTTACACAACGACAGCAATGGGGTTAAAGACACCGCGGTGATCCAGGGACATGGGTTCGTCCAGACCATTTCTAAAATATACATATATGTAGCGTGCGGACCGAGCGTAGGGACCGAAGAAGAAGAGTGAGAGCGTGGGAGATAGGGAAAAAGGGAGAGAGGGAGAACTATTTAGTTTTGAAGGTTGGGAGGATAAACGAGCGGCGAACTGGCTGGTGAAGCTTTCATGCTGGAAGACGCTGCTCGTTACCGACTGTTGCGTTTCCCGAGAAGAGATACGTCTACGTTCCGCCTTAGCGAAGAATAAGAAGAAGGTGGTTCGTGGATGAAAAGAGAAAAGGGAAACAACAAGTTGTACTCACGGGTCGTTGGTTTTAGGCAAGAGAGTGCCGAGCTCCTTGATTCTGTCGTTGATGTTGAACCGTCGCCGTCTCTCGACTGAAAGTTACGATAATAGGAATTATAATTTCTTCACGCTCGAGCTTGTCGAAAGAGAAGAAGGAAGGAAGGAAGGAAGGAAGGAAGGAAGGAAGGAAGGAAGGAAGGAAGGAAGGAAGGAAGGAAGGAAGGAAGGAAGGAAGGAACGAACGACAGCCGGCCCAGCCTGGCCCGGTCCGGCCCAGCGCGGCGCGGTGCTCGTGCATCGATAGCAGGCATGCTGCTTAATAAATACAGTTGCATCTCGTTATCGGTTTTACCGGCTGCTAATGTAATTTGTAAAAAAAGGCTCTTCTATCCAAACGGCCAGAAGCGAAATAGACGCGTTAAGGTTTTTCACACACGGCTAATAATTATAATTGGTGGTAATAGAGTAGCGCGACGCGAAGGCGAGGCGAGGCGACGTGCCAACGAAGCGACGATATACGGTCAATCATGCCTACTACATGCACATGTACTTACTCATGTTATGATTGTCTTTCTTTTGTCGGTCTTTGGCAAGAGCGTGTATCTCCGCCTCCGTAAGTAACAGAGGTTCCGGCTTGATTTGTAGCTCTGGAATATTGGTTAGACTCGCTGATTGGCCGTCCTTCAAATTGTCGCCCAAAGAGCCAGCTTCGAACGACAAAATGTCGTCGAGAAGATCCTCCGCCTGTAATCATAAGGGGCGGAAGGTATGAGCTCCGACTCTTCTCACGCCGCGATGTCTGATCTTCCTAACTCGTGGTCGCAGGGGATGCGGTGTTAATCCGGATTAACGGGCGGCTGCATCGGAAGGGTGTTCGGGTGGAATCGGAGATTTGCGCAGAGGGAAGAGGCGTGGAAATATTGGAAGAGTGGAACGGTGCGAGATCGGTGGTGTTCGAGATCGGTCGCACGTGCGCGTTCAGCCCACGTCGCTTATGGCTATCCAAGTTGCGTACGTGTAAGTTACGTAAACATTACGTAACAATAATAACCGACGTCTGTCTGTGGAAGAACGGTGTGTAGCGCGGCAGAGAGGAAAGATACATATGTATGTATTATAGATTGGGGAGAGAAAGCGGTGGAAGAAGGTGGGCGAAGAAAGAATTGGAAATTGTGCGAAAGAGAATGCATCTGAATGTTATCTGGAATCGTGGTGAGAGTGTACGTGGTGGCGTACCGTTCGGATAAGACGGTTATCACGAGCAAAGTCGCATCGTATCGCGTCGTGTCGCGTCAGGTCTTATCCTGTCGCGCCTCGTCTCGTCTCGTCGTATCGCGTTTACATCTGTCTTGCTGCGTAAGTGAAAAATGCGACATCGTCGTTGCACTCGGAGGTTGCTGTTCAAGTTCCGTTTGGTAAATCGTCCTTGGGTTGGACGGCACTCGGTCCATCTTCTCCATGTCCTTTTCGCGATTATTACAAGTGTCCACAGGATCCTCCGAAAGCGTTCTCCTACCTTTTACGCGTTTTTTCACAGAGATAAGCAGGTATCGAGGTGATCGTCGTCCTTATCTGTCCTCGATTAAGATGAATCGCAAGACGCGTTCGTGTGCTCGACCGAGCGATCGAGGAGAGGAGCAGATGAGCGCGAAAATGGAGAAATTCAGGTCCGGGGCGGATCTACGGTTCGTGATCGGAAGCGATTGTACCGTGTCCGCTGGCTGGTATACACAGACACACGTACTTAGGTATGCATCCAAAGTGCGCGTAATATACACTCGCGTGTTTGTGGTCGTTTGCGCCGCGCCGTGAAGAAGGTGGATAACGAAGGCGATAAGCGACCTTCGCGGATCAAGGTTCGATCGTTTGATCGATATCGATCGGTGAGAGTGAAACGCCGCGAAAGAGTCGTGTACGGTGAATGAGAGGAAATTGATCGCGAAAGGGTTAGGTGGACGTATAAACGAAGCCAAGCATCCAACTCACCTTACACCTTCGAGTTATTATATTGAACACTGGCATGGTGTGGTTGCCGGCAAGAAAGTATTTGCGCGCGGTTTCTACAATAATAAGACACGTGCGTACGCGCATGCGCACGCATGCACGCACGTGGATGATAACGCACTGTCCTGCGTTCGCAGCTGCAACGAGAACGGAGAAGGAGTCTATCCGTTTTTCACAATTACAGTCCGATTCAACTTTACGCCGGCAAATCTTATCGCCGTCGTTACACTTCACCTCCTGTCACGGAGTTTCCTTCTTCCTCGATGTCCGGTTGGATGTCTCTGTCCTCTGTCCTCTGTCCTCGGTCCTCGGTCCTCGGTCCTCGGTCCTCGGTCCTCGATCCTCGATCAGCGAGGGACCACAGCTCTCCTTTCGGAGTTGAAACTGCACCGCCGCCGCGTGACAATCGAAGCACTGAACAAGCGATACTCGGAGAAAGTACGCGAGTACGGGAACGCGAAGGAGAGAAAGAAGGAGAACGAGCTCGAAATCGAGAATGGCAAACGAAACGGAGAGGAAGAAGAAAGTAAGGGGAGAAAGGTGGGTGCAAGGATCGAGGCGAGAACGGCAATCATATCCTAGGGAGGAGGCGCGCACGCACGTGGTACAGGCCAATTGACGGATCCTCGGTCAGTATAATAATATCCGTCAGGAGATGGATGCGAGGACGGGGAACGCGATCGATCGATCGGCGAACGAGTGCATTTTTCGGGCTGTTGTACGGGTGTGATGCCGATACGAGGCTGGTTCGTGGCAACCTTGCGTTTTCTCCTCGTACTACCGTTCCGTCGCGACTCGCCGGCTACCAACGATTAAGCGCACCTCAAGGTTGCGGTTACCCAATAACGTATCTCTCGATCTCCGCGAGGCGTGGAGGGAAACCGAGTTACAACGGAGGAAGACACGGGAACGGAGGGCAGGGAGTTAACCGGGAGCAGGGAACGGTGGCGGGAGTCGAACAGGTGGAGTTTGCGAATGCCATAAGACTGTAAGACTGGCGCGCTAGCAAACAGTCCTGTGACGCGGCGTTATCACTTCGGATCGACACCAATTACCGATAAGCCTCCGTCGAGGAGACAAGTTTTTCGCGGTTTTCCCTACCCGATCACGATCCAGAGATCCTACCTCCTCGCTACCTCCTCTTCTTCGCGTCCTGTTGGCACACGACGAATCCGTCGATCGCGGTGAATGGAGGAAACGGGACGGGGACCGGGAAGAAGCACGCGACGAACCGGACACTTGGCAAGGTTTGCTCGCGCGTGCAAACCCAAAGCTCGCTCGCATAGAGGCGAGGCGAGGCGAGGCGAGGCGAGGCGAGGCAAGGCGATCGGCTCGTTCCGGTGCTACTCGCTACTGCTCGAATGCGCGCCACGCGCCACGCGGCCACGAGCTCCGCGACGCCCCACGCCCGCTAATATCGACGACCACATACATATTCGCTTCCCGCCGCTTCCACTCGTCCGCGTTATCCCCACATGCCTGTCGCGCTATCTCTTGTATCAGGTCTCTCGGGCCCTGTCTCTTCTCTCGTCGGTCGCTCTTGTCGTGGCAACGGGTACACACATATGTATATGTATTGTGTATACTGTACTACGTATAGTTTCTTCTTCCTCGCTCCTCGCTCCTCCTTCACGGTTCACCGCACCTTCTTTACCCGAATATTCTTCTACGAATGTCCAAGCTTGCGTCCCCGTTCGAATTTCTCTTTTCGTCCGGTCCTATTACGAATTCAGCTCTCGTAGTTATCGCACGACGCGCCTCGGGTATATTGAGTCGTCGTAACGGAGTTGGTTTCTCCGTTAACCCGGTTCCGTGTGCGGTTCTATGTGAGAGGCAAGTGGATGCTTGCAAGGAAAGAACGAACGAATTCGGAAGCTGCGATGTAGATAGAATATAGAAAGGTGTAACGCGTATCGTAGATTGTAGGAAGATTGTAGGAAGGGGAGAAAAATGGGGAAGAAGCGACTGCGCGTGGTATGTAATTATGTACACACATACATATTCCTAAGTAAGGTATAACGAGCGGTAGCGAAAAGAACGATATTACCGTTTCTGCGTGACTCGAGTTGTGAGACGAATAACAAAGAAAAAGAAAGCGGTCGATCGGTTCGACCTTCGGGCTGAGAGAAGCATGCTCGCAATTACGATTTCGAATCCATCTTCTCTCTCCTCGCCGCTCCTGCCTTCCTTCTCTCGGTTCACTACGGCTCGATGGGAAATTCCTAGGGGGGGGATTATGTACCTCGGAATTGCTGGTTGCGACACTGGAGAGTCCCGGTGACATGGCGCCGGTGATTGGATCCGGACTGGCCGCGACCGGGTTCAGCACCGTGGGAGCGTGTGGATAGGAGGCCAGATGAGGATGCTGCGGCTTCGGATGGTGCACCGTTGGTCCCGGTGGTGCGCTTTGGACGACCATCGGCGGCGGCACCGAGTTGCGCCCGAGGAGGTCTTCGGTGTCGGTGCCGGCACCACCGCCGCCGCCACCGCCACCGCCGCCGCCACCCTCGCTGCCACCGTCGCTGCCACCGCGAAACGATTCGTGAAGGTATTGCCGCACCTGATTCTTCTGCTTCTGAACGACGTGGTAGCGCGTCGGGTTTTCCAGTAACGTGCGTACCTGCGAACAGTAACCACAAGGTCTACAATGCTATTCTGGAATCGGTTTGTTCCTCCTTGTTATCGGGCCGTTAGATAAGATATGTATCTGTTATCTTTTTCGAACGGAAAAAGACAATTTTCGAGCAGAACGAAGCACGCGATAAAGCACGTGTCGCCCTATTCGTGCCCCATTCGTGCCCCATCACGCCAACCGTGTGATTTTCAGTGTGTAGTACGAGTATAAAAATATTGGTTCGCACGCGCAGGCGCGTCGCACTTGCGTATACACGCGCGTCACGTGTAAGTGCGTGCGCGCCTGAGCGGCAGAGAGTAAGGTAGAGAGGGCGAGGGAGAGGGAGGGGACGAGAAGAAGACGATGATCGTACTTGCAAGACTTGCGGTGGCACGTCTACCCCGATAGTTGAGAGCGGCGTAGAGGGTACTGGTCTGGGAGGAGCAGCCGTTGGTCTCTGTTGCTGCAAGTTCTGACGAAATTCTGCCTCTCGCCTCTCCTGCTCCTGCAGCTGCTCTCGCATCAGCTGGAGCTTCAATTGTGTGCGCGAAGTGGGCGTCGCAGTCTTGAACGTCGGTGGACTGAAAATCATGGAAAACGATTCGATTTTACGCGCGCCATCTCTTATCCTTCCTCGCTCGGTCCGCGATTCACCGAATACATACACGCTACTTGCCCGTTTACTTTTAACTTTAACCACTCTCAGTTTAACGCTATTCAATTTACGAGCAGCACGATAGAGAGACTGTAAATTTCGGGGGATCGTCCTTTCCGCTGCATATATGTATGTATGTACTCTGTATCGTACTCTCGACGATAAGCGGTCGCTCTTCTGAACGTTAAATTAGACAGGGTGTGACCCCGTCGGGGGGTCCATAGGTACGCTAGCAATCGTGCTCGTCTAAAAGGTATTCCCGATTTGGGAACGGGGCCAAGTTATGGCCATAAGAAAACGAAAATAGAGGGACTGCGCAATTTCGATCGAGATTCGAGATCGAGATTCTTTCTTTTCTTCCGGACCGGAACGCGCCCGTCGAACGGTTCTCTCGCTTGTCCCCAACCGATCCAGACACCCCCTTCGTTTCGTGTATTTCGCAACTGTTGCGCGTTACGTAACCACCTTCAGCGAAAAACTAAACTGAGCACTTGCTTCGTCTCTATCAACTCGTTCTTTCCCTCCTACTTATTTTCTATTGTAGAAGATCGATATACCGTCCGTTGTTGATCGACGAAACGAATTTGCCTGTAGATATCCAGGTACATACATACATACATACATACATACATACATACATACATACATGTAGATCGCTAGAACGACGTGGAAAAATCGGAGCGAGAGGAAACGACGAGAATCGAGTACGCGAGATGCTATGCACATGTACATCACGAAACACGTCTACGCGCAACAGCCAAGGACGCACTTATATTTAGTCGCAATGTTTACGGTCGACAAAAAGGTAGAGACGTAGTGGTAAAGGGAAGCGACGGACATAGATTTCGCGGAAAATCGGGCGTGGACGCGATCCATGTAAGTAAATGAAAGAGGAGGAGGCGTGAGAGATTAATAGCGAGGGCTATTATCCTCGAGTGAATCGAGGAGGAAAATGATTTTAAGAAGCTCGAACCGTTTGAACAGTTCTGTACCAGCCTTGCGGGCGTGCGAACGCGACGTGACCGTTGCTCCGAGAATTGCTGGGTAATAGAGAGGAAGGCGTGGTGGGCATTCCGTCGACGATCGACGGATCCATCTCGAGGATCATGCGCAGATCCTCGTCGATACCGATGTGAACGCGCACGCGTTGCTCTGCTTGCTCCCGTTTCACCACCTTCTCCTGTCTCCCTTCTTCCCAGTCACGATCCGGAGTAGAGGACCCGATGTTCGAACACGGACACGACGACCAGGACGACCAGTAGTTGCTCGCTTGCACGTAACGTCGTGAGAACGGAATCGAGCCGAACGCCTGCTGGCTGGATAACGGCAACGACGTCGACGTCGGCACCAACGCCGACGCCGATGTCGGTGCCGGTACCGACACCGTTCCCGCTTTCGTTTCTGATTCCGAGGCTACGAAACGCGGAACTGTCAGCCAGCCAGCACTCGTCCAACCCGACGGTGTCTTTGTCGTCTTTGTCGTTGTCGTCGTCGTCGTCGTCGTCGTCGTAACTGTTGTTCTTGTTTCGGTGACAGCTGCGGAGCCGCTGAAGCCGTTTATTTGATTTAATCGCGACACTAAATCCTCAAATTCGACGATTTGCCGCACTGTCTCGGATATCTGCTGTTGCATGTCCTCCGTTGGAGGTAGACACGTTTCGCGGCCAGGCTAACCGAGGTATCGCCACGCTACTAAAGCCAGATGTCGCGACTTTCCGTTGTCACAGACATCGTGCAAGACGACAAACGCGGCAGCGACGATGATGATGATGATGATGATGATGATGATGATGATAATGACGACGACGATGACATCGACGACGACCACACCACGCCACCAGCTACGAAAAAGCAACGCTTCTGTGTAGCTCTAAACCTGGATCCGTCGCCCTTCTCTCCTTTTTCCAACCGTTTCGGTTTCGCTCGCTTGTACGCTGGCGCGCGCGGTTTTCGCGCATTCGCGTACCCGCGCCAAATCCCTTAACCGTCGACTGTATGTATACCGAGCACCGTCGTTTAGAGATATTCAACGAATCAGGAAAGAGATGAAATTAAAGCGATATACGCGCCAGCAGCCGATTGTCGCTCTCTTGGCAACGTGGATATTTACGCGAGAACGCGTTTCGAACATTCCCACGTACCCGCGTTTCAATTTCGTTCATTTTGCCACATGATCCAACTTTCCGACGTTTCGCCGCGACGGGGATGGGGGAGCGACAGAGAGCACTTTCCTTTTTTTGCGAAACGCCGGTCGCATGGTGCTTGGTATCCTAATCGATTCCCTTCCAAGATCGAGATCGGCGCAGTACGAGAACGGCGATGGATGGATCAGCCGTGAAACGAACCGAACGTGAGCCGAGACGAACCGGAGTTGGACGAACCGAGCCGAGTTCAGCCGAACCAGGCCAAGAACGTACAAGTGACGGAGACGGGCGTAGAATGCAACGCGAAATCGAAGAAGCTGCAAACGGTGGATCGACGTCGAGATGCGGCCGTAAAATCTAATAGTTGAATTGGTCGGAGGAGAAAAGATACGGACTCGAAAGCCGTAACAAGATCGGCCGTACGACATTTACCTGTCGATATTCGGTGCTCGACTCTTTAATTCGTAGTACATGATGTCTTGCAACGGTGTGGACAAAAAGGACAAGGCTTGTTCCCAATCCTCGTGGTTGTTGTTGTCATTTCTGCTACCGTGTTTCTCAAAGTTAGCCTGCTCCTCGATACCAACGACACCGTTCTGCTTCTCCTGATATCTCCGATCGCAGAGATTCGCCTCGCGATGCTCCAAATCCGCGGTGATAGCCGCCAGATCGAAACCCATGTCGATCCCGGACTCCTCCATTCTTGCGATCAGCTTTTAACTTTCGCGTTAGGTAGAAGAGCGGCGCGACACGGCACAACACGGCACGGCACGGCACGGCACGGCACCACACGGCACGACACAGCACGGCGTGGCGCGGCGCGGCGCGGACTGGGGCGTCGCGACGCCACTCGCCACGGACGAACCAAAACTTTCCGATGAAATTTCCCGACGAGAAACGGTCACGATTCCACCAGACAACCAGATTCCTTTTCGAGTTTTGCTTTTTAGCGTGGCGCCTCCCCACTAGCAGAAGTTGAGACGCGCGTGTCGAATGATAATCGTAGCGAGAGATGGGAGAGACGGGAGTCGAGAGTCGCGCGAGAACTGCTTTCCGGCCGGTTCGGGGCGAGCGGGGAACCCGCGTTCCACTCGTTAGTCTCGATCGACGCTCGACGCTCGATGCCCGATTCTCTCTCCACCATGCTCGAGATCTTCGCTCGATTGAAGCGAGCATGTACGCAAGACGAGGGGTTGGTGGGACGGGTAGGTAGATCACGAGTTTCTCACCAACATCCGCGATCTTCTGCTCCCCGCGCGTTTCACCTCCCTAGCAATCACTATCCTTGTCAATGCGTAGAGTCAGAGAAAGCGGACAAACGAGAAACATCGAGACTTGGCCGATGACCGGTCGCGCGCACATATATCTACTCCCACGATAAGCCGAACATGAAACAAGTTTGTAAGTATGTACGATAGGGCGAATTTAGACAGAACTCCACTCGATGGCACGCGATGCAACGCGACGCGATATTCTTAGCGTAATATGTATGTACGATTCATACCCCACATACTTGGCGCGATTTCTCCATTTCACCTCGCGTCACCACTCCGCCGACAGTTTTCCCCCGGAAAGCGGCAGTATCTTTCTTGGAAAGAACGCAACTTTCTCGGTAGAAAAAACCTTTCTTCCGAACCGTCGTTGCATCGGTATCTCTAGAAAATAACTCGTTTTATCGGTAAGGAAGAACCGCGTAACACTGACATCTATACATTTCTTACGAGTACAGCCATCTTACGGCAAACTCTAGAATGTTTCGAGTCAATCGCGAATCGTCATCTCCCAAAGACGTTTTTCTCTTTCCGAATCTCTCGTAGAACATACGATACTTAAGTACTTGCACATATACTTGATGAGCTACGTGAATTTATTTAATTACTAGATCGAGAGTAAAGGGGAAAGAAGTGAGAATGGACGAGACACGGTTGTTTCGTTCGATACCGCAACGAATAATTGTCGAAAGCATAAACACGAGCGATCGGCACGTGTAAACAGTACACGATGCATCGCTGTTACGCAAAGCATTCGAATTGTTAATATACACGCGTCCATATATAGATGTCGAAGATGGCGCAACTTTGACGGTTTTACGTCTGTTGCGGTTACCAATTTGCGAAATTTGCGAAAAATCGCTGACACTTGTTCCACCGAAATCTGAATAATAAGGAACAGTGGCGGGAGTCAGTTGGTCGAGTTTCGGAAGAGGTGACGAGAAGGCTATGCCCGTTCCGATTCGATTTCACCGTCGATCTACCATGTATCTTTGGTATTCTACACTTGCGATTATCTTGTTAGCTACCTGGCGAATCGATGGGATTCAAGTGTTTGCCGAGCAGAATCGGTTTCCTCCGGAAGTAGCGGAAAAGCTGGACGAGTATTGGAACGCGTACAAGGTAGGACGTCGCATATCGCTTATCGTCTCGATAATACCGGTAGCCGATAGTACCATCGTGATGAAATAATAATTTATCGGCACGCACATTGTATGTATATCGTTAATATTACATATTGGGACATTATTGGCACAGGTCCGTTACAATAAAAGTTACTCTGGAAATGTGGAGACTAGCCGAAGGCTGATTTGGGAGGAAAATCTGGTGGCGATTTATAAGCATAATATGATGGCAGCTGCGGGTCATCACAACTACACGTTGAGGGATAATCATATCGCCGATCTTGGAACCAGACAGTACATACGAGAAATGGTTGGTATAATCGGTTGCTCTTTGCCGGATTAATTTCATCTTGTTCCTCCTCGCCTGTTTCGCAGGTGAAACTGATACCAAGTCGTAAGCGGCGTGTATCGAAAGAGGCGATGGTCGGGGCAATGTTACACGACCCCCGCCGCGTTCCAGCGCAGATGGATTGGCGCGAGGCCGGATTCAAGACGCGAGCGGAAAATCAAAAAGACTGCGGAAGTTGTTACGCGTATTCGATAGCTGGCAGTATTCAGGGGCAAATCTTTAAACAAACTGGCACGTTGATTCCGTTGAGCGAACAACAGCTGATCGACTGCAGTACGTCTACCGGGAATTTAGGTTGTTCCGGAGGCTCTCTAAGAAACACGCTGAGGTATCTCGAGAAGGCAAACGGGTTAATGGCTCGGATTCATTATCCGTCGAAAGGAAAAGTACGTTGCTCCCTTCTTTCTCTTCTTTCTCTTCTGAAAGAAAAGCGGACGAGGCTGGGGAGGAAGATAAAGTTCGATTTTCTCGTCTTTTCGAGAAGAGAACGCGAATTTCGTAACGCTTATCTTCGCGTGGCGATTCAGGCCTGTATATTCTTGGCTGATCTGACGAAAAAATTGTCACGCGAAACGTACACCTACACATGGAGAATTCACAAGCGTCAACAAACGTTACGTAAAGAAATGGACGTTGAAAGGAAACCGAGCAATGTTGAATTGAAATTTCTTCGTATTACTTTCAAATTACATCATCCGCGGTCTGTACGTTCGTACATGTGGCGTATTCTCGTGTACACACGTACCGACATACATACTCGTACGCGAACGAAAGGCAAGGATACAGAATTGGACCTTTGTTCGATGACGTTTCAGCAAGGGCCGTGCCACTTCCAAAGGGACTTGAGCGTAGTGAACATTACTTCGTGGGCAGTTTTACCAGCACGCGACGAGAAAGCTTTGGAGGTTGCCGTAGCGACGATAGGTCCCATAGCTGCTTCGATAAACGCCAGTCCGAAAACGTTCCAACTTTATCAGTGAGTAGTAGACACTATGTATGTACTTAAGTATATTTACGTTTCGTTTGGCGAGAATTCCTCTACCGGCTGTCGGCTATCGGCTACCGATACCTATTCCTCGTCCGCCTAGAAAAACTGCGAGAAAGTGGAAAACTTGGCGAGAAGAATTGTTGACACGCGATCAACTCGTGTTCGGTTGAATGTTTACGCGAAAGATGAGAATACGAAAACTCGTATCATCCCCTTCTGACAGATACTCAAAGAAATTGGTCCAGTTGCACGATAACCTTTGGTGCATCGTTCACGCAATGACCCTGAAACGGCAACGAACCCAAGTCACTGAACTCTCTAGGTTCTGCCTAACCTACCAGGTAACCTACTAGGTAACCTTACTAGGTAACCTACTAGGTAACCTACTAAGTAACCTACTTGGTAACAAGCCCCACTTCACTTGCTTATCTTCACCACTTACCAGTTTCTTGTTTCATTTCGCAGCAAAGGGGTCTACGACGACGAACTCTGTAGCTCGGACATGGTGAATCATGCTATGCTGATCGTTGGATACACGCCCACCGAATGGATTTTGAAGAACTGGTGGGGTGACGGATGGGGTGAAAACGGATACATGCGTTTGGCTAGAAACAAAAACCGATGTGGCATAGCTAATTACGCGGCGTATGCAAAAGTTTAAATCAATTCACACATTCTACACGCTTGTTTTTCCTTGTCCCGAATACTGACTGCGACACACAGTCTAAAAAGAAGGAAGCAAAATTGGAGGATCGTTCTCGGAAGCGGCGATACTTTGCTCCGACCTTGAGGCTGTCGTTTAATTCCTGCCGCTGATAATTCCCCCGGTATACACATCGAGATGTAAACGTTTTTAATGAAATTAACGAAAGAGCGGTACTGCGGGTTAAAAGATATAAGCTCCGGTTAAAAGATCGAGGACGGGGGGAGAGTACTTAAGGAATGTTGTAGCGCTGGCGAATGTGTTGGTATGTATACGTGAAAGATTAAACGAGGAACCTATTGGTGATGCATACTCTCCGTTTTATCGTGAGCGGGGAAGGGTGGAAGAGTAAAGGAAAGCGAGAGAAATTCGGCAGGGACTCAAGTCGATTCGAACGGAATGGAGAGTTGTTGTAAATGTGGGTGAGAAAGAGGACGAGGAAGAGGACGAGAAAGAGGAGAACAGCATGTTCGTGGCGCGTGTTTCCACCGACGATATCAGCACGGTTCGCCTCTGTCCAATCCGCTGTATCCCCCGCTCACGGAGCAAAGTTCAAGCTGCGTGCTGGGAACCGAAGCGTGACTAAATCAAGTCAGACGATGTATCTTCAGTCTTACCGGATGTGTTGCGCTTGAGTGGACCGACTGGTGAAAGACGGTGGATCGAAACGGCGGAACCGAGTGGAGCGAATTATTAGGTGTCAAGCGCGGTTAGTCAATCGACGAAGCGTCGTCCTCCTTGCGCTCCGGGACGTGAGGACAATTTCCCGAGGAAATCCGGAAACGCGTCAAAATGCGAATGAACCAGACGAAGCTGCTGTCTCTGGCAGACTCGAATTCGCCTTAGTGAGATCCTGCTTTTCTTCCATACGTTCGATGATAATAGCGAAACCTAAAGGAAGATTCGATGCGCCGCTCGATGGAAGAGTGGGTTAGGTTCCGTGATCGGCGTAATCCCTTGAGGAAAAGAGAGAGAGAGAGAGAGAGAGAGAGAGAGGCGAGAGAGAAGTTGACGCGAGTGGAATACCGGCGGTAACCGAACGCAAGCACGTACGCAAGCGCACATCAAAACGATGCGTCTCGTTGATCAACTGTTGTTGCTTTCCCTTCTCCTCTCGCTGGGCAATCAGGTCGAAGCTATTTGGCCCAAGGTCACCAATCCCTTATCCTCCGTCTTGTGGAATTTTTACTCGCGATCGACCAATCCCACCCCCGCGAGTTCCGCCCTGTCGTCGTTCGAGGAAGATGATTGCGTTGGGTGCGCGCAGAATAAAGTTAGCCTACTTGCGACCGATACGATTTTAACGGAGATAAGGGTCGAATACGTGAAGCAACAAATCCTCAAGAAATTGCGGCTCTCCAAGCCACCCGAGATATCGATGCCGATCTCGACCTTGCCGATGCCTCTGATAAATGGTCGTGTGCTCGAACTTCGACCCGGAGCGCCGCTCGAACCGGAAAGATCAGTCGACAGTTTCTATGGAAAAACCGATCAAATCGTTGTCTTTCCGAACGAAGGTTAGTCCCTGCTAAGTCGTCACCCGTTTTTCTTCTCCCGTATTTCGGCAGAAACCTGCACGCTCCAACCGAAGGAGGAGAGTGCGAACAACGATTCTGCATTTGCATACTCTTTTCTCTCGATAACATCTTGTTTACGTATCGTCGACACATCCTCCCCGCACAGTCACGATTCATTCACATTGGCCATTTACAAAAAGACTCTTTTATAGTAACTTAATAACAACGCGAACTGACGTAATTACGGTAAAAAAAAGAAATTGTCTCACTCCTTTTTACGCGAGTGCAACGAGAAAAGTTGGATAGGACAGGGTATGCTGTGCGCGTTATTCTAGAAGAAGGGTGGTCGGTCGGTAAGGTCGACTACGTAATATGTAGGTACATACATATGTACAGGGTAAATGAAACCGCGCGTTTCAAACAATGTGACAAATGTTTCAGGTATAGCCGATTCGAAAAAGTGTCAACAAAAATCGAACCATATGACGGGGTTCCGTCAAATTTCAGCCTGTTTCACCTTTTATCTACCGAACGAAATGCAATTCGTGGATGTGACCACTGCGCAACTTTGGTTCTACAAGGGGTACGACGACAACGACGACATGAATCAAACTTTCGTGCTCTCCGAGCTCGATCATTGGGATCTAAGTGGAAACTTTGAAAAGAATACCATCATGGCAATCTTCGAAACTGATATTGGAGGTAGGTGAATCAAAGTTACCTTTGAAAGGCGCTCGAGGACACTTTGAATGAAAGTGAGTGGGTGTATGAGTGAGCGAGAGGGGGTGAAAGCAGTAAGATACACAAGTTGCCGAAGCGGAATACGCTATGCGAAGATAATACGGAAGATTCCTACGTAAGTACTTATATATCTGTTGCCACTTGTTAAGGACTTTAGACTGTGAGGGGCTATGTCGGCGAAAACGCAACGCTCTTCTGATATAAACTCCGTCCTCTGCTGTTCGAAGATTACGTTACAAACGTGTACATATATACCAATTAATGCCAGTACCATATTTTTCACTCGAATGTTGCGTCTTCTATACCTTGTATACCTTGTAGTATATGTATCTATGTAGTTTGAAATATGATTGAAATATTGCCACGGGAAAGCGATTAAAGGAGAAACGACCGATCGATGTTTCAGAGGGATGGGTGAAGACCGACGTGAGCTTCACGCTGAACAAATGGGTGAGAGAGCTTCGGTTGAACCACTCGATACAGATTGCTTGCAGTACCTGCTCGATCGACCGAGTTACCGCGCCCGTATCCGTCGAGCAAACGTTGAAACCTTTCCTCGTGATACACACATCGCCCTTGCCGCAGAAAAATAGACCCAAGAGGAATTCAAACTGCCTGCCTGAAATGACAGAATGCTGCAGGGACGAGCTCTACATTAATTTCGAAGACATCGGTTGGAGCCAATGGATTCTTCATCCGAGAGGATATCACGCCTATTTCTGTCGTGGCTCTTGTTCTTCCGTCGCTTCCTTGACTGTCAGTAGCTCCCCCTACAACAACGTCATCATTGTAGGCATCTTTTCTTTTATCGATACATTTTATCGATCGCACACTTATTTCCGCCCACTAACTTACTCCCTTCTTTACTTTTCTCCTTTCAGAAGTTGTTGAACAACAAACATGCTGCTGGTAATGCGATGCATGGTAAAAACGAGATCGTCCCGTGCTGTTCGCCTACGCAATTGTCACCAATTCAGTTGCTCTATGTCGATACGAACAACACGATCACGCAAAAAACACTGCCAAACATGGTGGTCGAAGCCTGTGGTTGCATGTAATTCGCCAAATATTAACCAGATCCCCTCCCTCCATTCAAAATATCCATCCCCTGCATACACGTATACCTATGTACATATTTACTTTTCGCTTCGACGCGAACATTATCTTCTCTCTTCTGCTTCTGATACCTGCCTCGAGCGATTCAGAAACCACGATCAGGCTTTCCACGATTACAACACGACCCTCCCCCATTAACAATCACTTCGTCGTGAATAAACACGAGCGTGTCATTTCGGAGACGAATGAAAACGAAACCGACGATTATTCAAATACAAACTCGTTTGCATGCAGAGTCGTGTGAACGATCGAAAGAAACAGTATTCCTCCTCTAGCGATAGGGCGCTGCTTGCGCCGAAATCCTACCTTTAATCTAATTATTTCATATTTAACCGATCGAAACGCAATCGCGTAATTGTGTAATCGAATTCGATGATACAATTTATTTATTATTAAACCAAATCAATTATATTATATCGTACATATGCAATATTCGAATAGACGAAGCGATCCATCCTTCCGCGGGAAACTCAAACCTCACCTCTTCTTCCTATTTCTCCCACTCTTTCTCTACTTGTAAACTTTACTAGGAAGTACATATGTATGTGGACTACCGCAAACAAGGATGATACACAGCCATCGATTTTCTGCATCTGCACCTATGTATTCAATTTAGAACGTCGCGTAACATCGGGCTAATGTCGATTCACATTTTACCATTCTGATATTACCGACCACTGCTTCTTACTGCTTACAACTTGTTAGCGATATTATCATAAACTGGATACATACACTGTGAACGTTGTTTGTGCTATTTCTTTTCTTTTTTATTTACCTAATTTTATCTACCGTAAAGAGCAAGAGTGAAGGAAACTAAGCTAAAACATATACACAAGTACATATATGTATATTTTGTTTCGTAACAATCACGAAAGATAAAACTGATGCGTGACGTGATGGTCATTTGTAGAAACGCGACACAATTTCGTTCTTCGTTCTTTGAATACTCGCGAGATTGAAAACAAGACGCGACGGAGCCAGACGCGATACCGCTACAGCCACCAATTGGAAATGAACGCGGTGCATGAATCGGTGTGCGATAAAGCCCAATAGTTTGGGCCTGTTTACAAACGTGGAAATTAACAACGAGCATCGCGCGCGCGCGTGTTTGTGTGATGTGTGTGTTGTTTGTATCTTCGCAATGCTGTCTGAGGTTGACGTATTCATCAGCAATTATACTCTTGTCGATCCTGACATATATCAACTTTGGGTCGACGGTCATTCGTGTAAGTTCGTCCAGTAAAGTTATGTGAAAGAGTAGAACTGTTGATTGAATAAAACTGCATCTACCCCGAGTATTCGGTAGAAAGGTAAATGTAATCAACTTAACCGTTCTTTCCACATTCAGCGAGCGAAGCGGTTAACATCTTACATCAACGAGGAATATGTCACCAGACGAATGCTCCGATCGAGTTAGTGGCTTCCGATATTCTCGATCATTATCGGACATACGCTTTATTAGAAAAATTACTTCATGCGCCTACCAAATTGGCGAGCGAACAACTCGCCTTCCAGATCGAACCTCAAACTAGTCAGATGCTTATCGAAATGTGAGCAACATATTTTTTCTTCTTTTTTTTTTGTATCCTGTCCAATAGGTCGAAATTTCTCTTCAATCGTAATTCACAGGTACTACGAATTCGACGATGTTGTCATTAGAGAATTATTAGGTAAAAAGATAACGTCCAAAAGCAGAAAGGATATGGACGAAGTGTCGGAAAAAACTGGTATCACGTTGAAGAGTTGTCGTCGACAGTACGATAATGTGAAAAGAGTGTTCAAAGCTGTTGAAGATTTGCCAGGTTCTTTGGCTGCCAATATCGAGCAACATTTTTTACTATCCGAAGACCTTGCCAAGTAATCTCGATAAGAAAATTATTACTTTCGCTATAAACGTGTACGATTAAGTTTGCGTTAATATTTATAATTATTTAGGAGATATGCTGCTGTGGTATTCATAGCGTGTCTTCGATTCGAGATGAACAAAAGGAAGCTTCAATTTCTAACGTTTCCTGACTTATACCATTGTGCCAACAGTATGATGTCATCTTGGACGTACCGTTGTGTTGGATCAGAATATTTTGACACTGACTTGGATAGAGAATTCTTGCTAGAATTAGCAGAATGTAGGGTACTTTTGGAAAATGACAAACATCACAAGCAGTACGTTGGTTGAACGTAGAAGAATTGTAATTATTGCGAATGCATAATGTTCTCGCAACTATGCATTGTATCCTATTTGGTTACAGTTTAGTGTGCATCAAGCTTAAACCTATGCTTTTAGAACGTTCGTATCAAGAGATAGATACAAACTTTCGTTCGTACACCAGAGCTATTCTAGGAATAGGATGTAACCTTCATCGTTCCAGAGATCTACGGTTTTTCTTTCTGGAATTGGTAGAGAGATGTATAGAACCGTGGCGTCAAGCAAATTGGACGCATACGGATCTCAGAAATTTTCTATCAGTTTACACACAATGCGCGCTTGATATGGATGTACTTAGGTAAATATTAAGCGTATCGTCTTATTTCGATGTACAAGTTACGATATTTCGCTATACTTACCGTCTCAATTTCTTTACCAGAGACAATGAACTGAGAGATGCATTCGAACGTTACATGACCGTTGTTACGTGCTGTTTATTGCGTATGCATCATACATGACTATTAACCGAAGATGAAGATGGCACGCAAAAAGTTAACGTGATTGACAACGACGATAAGTGATAGAGGTGGAAAATAATATAAAATCGAGGAAGTGTATGTATACTGCAATTTATTAAGTTTCGGTAATAAATAATTGATAAACAAATGCAGCGTGTTTACTCGTTCGTTATATCATACATGTTCAGAATTTAAAATTTTATTACGTCACCTATGTATCTCGGGTACATTTGAAAATTATCATTCGAGATACTTTAAAGCGAGAGGTGTCACCGTTAATAGCGTTCATTTGCACGCGTGTGTGTGTGTGTACACATGCACGCATGCATACAACACACAAATACGCACGCGCGCATGTAACGAAGGTATCGAAACAGCTAATTAAATAATATAAACACTATTAAGGCTTTGGAACGATCGAAATGTCCGACCACACACACCTCCCTTGTACAAAGGTAATACGTCTCAGAATTTGCACAAGTTGTTGCGCATAGACGACACGCTTGCACGTATCAAGTCAGAAGAACACATTGGTTTTTAAATAACGCGTACGTTTGTGAATCACACAATGTACATCAAGTATTGTGAATTGAACGAAATAACTCCCTGCTAATTATGAAATCTTACGATCAACAAACTTTGTACTTATTTACTCTCTATCCAAGGAGAAAAATTAAGCGGAAGGTCATATAGGGACAGGGATCGAGGATCGTGAGAAAGTTGAGGGAGCGGTAGATGGGAAATTGTAATTTTACCTAAAGATCTGTACAAAATAATTACTCTACCAAACCTAGTACTTTATTTACCGCGTATACTATGTCCTTCATTTGCGGTAAAGATGCAATTTCCAGCGTTTTGGCATACGGCATAGGTGTATCAACACCTGTGATACGAACGACCGGCGCATCGAGATGGTAGAACGCTTCGCCTAAAAAGAAAGGAGACGGTTAATTAGAAAGGAAACGATCATACGACGAAGAAGTGGCTTACTTTCAGAAATTCTGGCGCTAATCTCCGCTCCGATGCCACATTGTGGCCAACCTTGTTCCACAGTCAAAACATGATTCGTTTTCACTACTGATTGTACAATGGTGTCTATGTCTAGTGGTCTCAAAGATCTAAGATTTATCACTTCCGCCTCTATTCCTTTTCCCGCAAGTTCATTCGCTGCTTCGAGAGCTTGCTCGACTGCCTTGGAATGTGCTACTAACGTAACGTGCTTGCCAACGCGTTCAATCTTCGCTTTACCAATTGGCACAAGAAATTCTTTCGATAAAGCTTCGTCTGACATAGGATATTGAATACCGTATAATATTTCATTTTCTAATACGACAACTGGATCGGGATCTCGAATAGCAGCTTTCAACAAGCCTTTCGCATCTTCGCTGTTGTAGGGTGATACTACTTTTAAACCAGGACAGTGACTGTACCAGGCACCGAAGCATTGAGAATGCTGAGCTGCTACACCTGCAGCAGCTCCGTTTGGCCCACGAAAGACAACTGGTACATTTACCCTACCAGCAGACATATAGAAGGTTTTGGCAGCAGAATTGATAATCTGATCGATAGCTTGCATAGAGAAATTAAACGTCATAAATTCGCATATAGGACGTAAACCAGCCTGAAACATTGAACGAAATAGAGGGTATTAGAGGAAAGGGGAAAGAGAGAAATAGAAGAGGACTAGGTATGTCATAGAAAAAGTGCGTGTCTGCGTACCATAGCAGCCCCAACAGCTATACCAGCAAATCCTGCTTCAGTGATAGGGGTATCAATGACACGTTTGTCCCCATATTTTTTCCAGAGGCCCCTAGAAACTTTGTACGCTCCGTCGTACAAAGCCACCTCTTCTCCGAGTAAAAACACCTTTTCGTCTCTTTCCATTTCTTCATCCAGGGCGGAGTTCAAGGCATCTCGCACAGTCATCTATATAGCGCAGGTTAGAGAAGAAAAAAGAAAGGCGCGTTAAGGTTATTTTTTTTAACCCGTAGCAGTTTCTATTTTCTTGTGACAACGATCGAATCATTAGAAACGACGCGTTGCGCAAAACGTTATTGCAAGTTTCAATCGGAAGAAGTGATGGGTGAATAATTGGGATCGAAAATGAATGACCTTTGTCGTCCTTCAAGGTGCAACAAGCAGATCGTACGATTCACTAAGCGAATGAAATAAACGAAATTATAGTGGCAGAGTAAAATGAGAAGAAAGTAATTTGGGGGGACATGCATCTTTTACTAGAAAGGCTGTTTCCATTGTAGGAAGAAAAGTGTGTGCACGCGATCGTGATCTTGTCAAAGACCAGAGAGGTTATGTTCGAAGTATGTTGAGAGTTACGTTCATTCTAATAAAGGTTATTTCTTACCTGCTGTGCGGCACTCCATTTTGACGTAGAAAAGGAACGTCGAACAACTCTCCTTACGACTGACTAGAAACAACGAACAATCGATAATATGAATTTTTCACTTTTCCCGAGCATATGACGAATGTCATATGTTCCACTAAAATTGAGACTCGAACTCGTTCTCTTTTCGAACGTATATATTTACCGAAAACATTGTAGGCCGTCGATTGTTTAATAATCTCCAAATTTCGAATTGTTTTAATCGATCGTATTGCTCTTAGTCGTCGTCATTCACGTGCGTCACCAGGGCCTCTGGTTCGTGATTTTGTCTTTGCCACAGATCGAAATGCGGAACGGTAGCAGAGGAGCTCAAGGTCAATAGGCGAACTCTTATGAAACGCGTTTACTATGGTTTAGATCTTTACACCGACGATCTGTTGGGGGTAATCGAGAAAGAGGGGTCGGATCGTCGAATCGCTGCTGATCGTTCGCTTTCTAATCATTTTTGCAATATTACCGTGGTTCGCGTAAAATTCTGCGAAATTATAAAAGAATAGAATATATTCCATTGGATTCGTAACGATAGTAGAGATAAGTAGGATGCGCCACTTTTTCTAACCAATGATAGGCAGTGGAGCTTATGATCTAGCCAATCGCAGCATGATCTAACGAACCGGCTTTTTTCTTCGCCGCTGGGCACGGGTAAAACAGATTCGTAGTTTATTTGGAATAAGACG